CACGAATAGTTGCTGAATATAATCAAAGTAAATCTGAAGAATCCTCACCAAAAATTGGTCGACCAAAAAAGAAGCTTAATCATGACTTAGTTGAAATTATTCGTAGTATTATCATTTCCTCTAATATTTCTGATTTACCACTTTCAACACCTATTTTATGAAAGAAGCTTGAAGAAAATGGTTATATTTTTTCAAAATAGCAGTTCCTTCATTTACTTCATATATTGGGATATTATTATGATTGTGATGAACGTCGAAATATGTTATATGAATCACCTGAAAATGTGACTTTTCGTAACATTTGTTTACAATGTCGATTTGAAAATTTACAAGGTAGAAACAAGGTTCTAACTAATGCTCTGAATGGTTCAGTTCAGTCTGGATTATAGGCCAATCTGAAACTGATCTGAAAATTTCAGTTTGGTTCAGTTCGGATTATAAATCCTAAAATGCCAATCTGAAACCAAACTGAACTGTAAACCAGTAAAAATTTGAACTGAACCGAAAATTTCAGATTAATCCAAAATTTTGGATCATTTAGAATGATCCTTTTATCATTCTTTTGGAACGATAATTTAATTGTTCCAATCGAACGATTTTCTTATCGTTCGTTTGGAATGATAACTTCAATTATTTCAAATGAACGATTTTCTTATCGTTCGTTTGAAACGATAACTTCAATCGTTTCAAATAAATGATTTTCTTATCGTTCGTTTGAAATGATAACTTCAATCGTTTCAAATGAATGATTTTCTTATCGTTCGTTTGAAATAATAACTTCAATCGTTTCAAATGAACGATTTTTTTATCGTTCGATTGAAACGATAATTTAATTGTTTTAAATGAACGATTTTCTTATCGTTCGTTTGGAATGATAACTTCAATCATTCCAAACGAACAATTCTTTTATCGTTCGTTTAGAACAATAATTTGATTGTTCCAATCAAACAATTTTTTTATTGTTCGATTGGAACGATAATTTAATCGTTTCAATCAAACGATTTATTTATCATTCGTTTAGAACAATAATTTAATCGTTCCAATTGAACGATTCTTTTATCGTTCGTTTAGAATGATAATTTGATCGTTCCAATCGAACGATTTTCTTATCGTTTGTTTGGAATGATAACTTCAATCGTTCCAAATGAACGATTTTCTTATCATTTGTTTGAAACGATAATTTAATCATTCTAATCGAACGATTCTTTTATCGTTCGTTTGAAACGATAACTTCAATCATTCCAAATGAATGATTTTCTTATCATTCATTTAGAACAATAATTTCAATCGTTCCAAATGAACGATTTTCTTATTGTTCGTTTGGAACGATAATTTAATCGTTCCAATCGAACGATTCTTTTATCGTTCGTTTGGAACGATAATTTGATTATTCCAATCGAACGATTTTCTTATCGTTCGTTTGGAACGATAATTTAATCATTCCAATCAAATGATTATTTTATCATTCGTTTGGAACGATAACTTCAATCATTCCAATCGAACGATTCTTTTATCGTTCATTTGGAATGATAATTTCATCGTTCCAAATGATCCGAAATTTCAGATTAATCCAAAATTTTCGGTTCAGTTCAGATTTTTTTCAGTTCAGATTAGATTTATAATCTGAAATAAATCCGAACTGAACCAAAAATTTTCGGATTAAAATTTTTGCAATCTGAAACCGAACTGAAGTTGATCTGAACTGAAAATTTTTGGATTAATCTGAACCGTTCAGAGCTTTAGTTCTAACTAAACCAGAGGTATTTTTAGATGAGTCTTATTGCCATTTACATCATATTACAGGTCGTACTTGGATACTAAATCATGGAGTTGTATATGAAGTTGGGCATGGACCTCTAATTATTATTTTTGGTGCAATTGTTGTAATGCGTAATGGTAATACCAATAAGCTTTTTGGTGAAATCGTTCCTAATTCTCTTTTATTATGGGATCTATCAATTAAACCACCTTCCTCTAGAAAAAGAAAACGAGCAAATGCCGATGAATGGACTAATATTCCTGATATTATTCAAAATTCAAATATTGTGGCAAATAATGTTGATTATCATAGTAATTTTACAGCTGAAATATTTGAAGATCTTTTTGATAAACTTTGTGCTAATATCAAAGAGTGTTATAGATTAGTTGTAATTCACATGGATGGTGTTAGGTATCACAAATGTCAAATTGAACAAATACTGACATCAAACTCAAAAAAGGATATAATGATCACATGGTTATTATCAGCAGGCGTTAACATTTCAGAAAATCTTAGTAGAGCAGAACTTTATGAATTAGTAAAATAAAATAAACCTAATGTCCCTTTTATGTGTGTTCAAATAGCCAATAAGTATGGTCACAATTTGTTTTATACTCCACCTTACCATTGTGAATTTCAACCAATTGAAGGAATTTGGTTAATTGTAAAAAGTGTGGTTGCTAGAACTGATCCCCATCCTAATCTTCTTACTATTAGAGACAAATTATTGCAAGCATTTAAAGATAATGTTAATTCAAAAGTTATTGTTGGGTTTTGAAAAAAATATTTTAATAAGGCCATAAAATATAAAGATTTAAGTGATAATATTTTATTAGTTAAAAGTGATTATGAAGATTTCGAAATTGAAGAAGTTGATGACTAGTAAAATTTTTTATATATCTTCAAAACTTTAATAAAATTTATATTGAAATATATCTTAAAACTTGAAGTATTAATAAATAAATTTAAATATTCATATTAAATTTTAAAAAAAATTTTTTTATTATAGATATATTAGTGTATCAACCTTTTTGCACCAGATCATATTAATAAATATTTATATGATTATAAAAAGTCTTTATAGCAAAAAGATTTTAAAAAAGTAAAATAATTTATAAAAAAAAAAAATTTATAATAAATATTTTACTATTATTAAAAATAAATATATTCATATTTAAGTTTTTAAAAATTGATTTTTGTTTTATAAGTATTTAATTAATTTTAAAATTAATTCTTTTTTTTCACAAATTCAATATCAAAAAATATATTCATTTATATTTTTATTAATTGACGAATTAATAAATTATTTATTAAAAATAGAATAATTAAATAAGTTGTAATTATTTTATAATTTAAATAATGGTAATATTATTTATTATATTACAAAAATAATGAATATTATAATAAAAGTAAATTTTTTAATTTTTTAAGATAATGTATTAAATAATATAATGAATAATTATAGTACTATTTAACTTGCAATTGCAATTCAATAAATGATAATGATGATTAAAAATGCAATTATTTGAAAATTATAAATTATGATTATATAAATTATTAATAATTATAAAAAAAATAAGAAAATATTAGTAATAAATAATAGACATAAGCAGTTTAGATAAGCTTTAAGAATATTAAAATATAGTAAATGATATTAATAAATATAAAAGATAAATTACAAATCAATGTATATAAAATGATTATAATAAGTTATAGATAAGGGATAAAATTCTTTTAATAACAGTCAAAACTTAGACGAAACTATATTAAAATCATAATAAAGAATATAACGAAATTCTTTCGATATAATAAAAGTCAAAACTATCAAAATTATCAAAACTATATTAAAAACATAAAAAAGGTATAATAAAATTATTTTGAGAAGATTCTGATAGGCATTTATACAATAAGCATATAATATTTAGAATAGTAATTTATTTTATAGTTAGTTAAAATATTTAAAATAATAAAATTGCTTTTTTTAAAAAAAAAAAAATTTTGCAATTTAGATTTTTTTATTTATAATAAATGCATATTCATATTTTAATTTCATATAAATAATAATTTTTTATTCTTTTAAATTGTATGAAAATCATATAATTTATGTAAAATTTTTTAAGATGTTCTTAGAATACTTATTTTATACTTTAAATTAAATTAAAAGGTAACTTATAATATTATAAATCAAAATTTGATTAGTTATTCAATTATTTTAAAATGTAATTAATATAATTGTAATTTAAAAAAATAATAATTTATTTAATAAATCTTAAAATTAGCTTTTAAAATTAAAATCTGTTAATTTTAATTTTAATTCATTTATTTTTTAAAACTGAATTTATAATCAGAATTAATTTAAACTATTTAATGTTAAATTATCTTTATTTTTAACTATAAAAAAAAGTAAAAGAAGTAAAGTTTTATTATTTTAAAGATATCTATTTCCTTTAATCTTTTTTTTATAAAAAAAAATAAATCATTTTAAATTAAAATATAACTATTTTTTCTTTATAAAATTCTTTTATTTATCATAAATATTTATTAAAACATTTCTTTTTTTATTATTCTTTTTATTTTTATTATTTTTACTTTTTTTACTTTTTTATTATTCTTATTTTTTTCTTCTTTTTATCATTTGGGACCTTTGCAATAGAAAAGGGGGAAACGGCTGGAAAAAATAAAAATTGAGTTAATGCTAAATCTGAACATATTTTGACTTAAAAATCATATTTGGCATATAAAAGTAAAATTGATTTTTTCCGGCAGTTTCCCCCCTTTCTATTGCAAAGGTCCCATTTTTGTTTTCTTCTTATTATCTATTATTTTTACTTTTTTTATTTTTTTATTTTCTTTCTTATATCATTTTTTTTTCAGAATTCTAACCTTTTGTTTTTTAAATATTTTATTTTCAACTTTTTTTAGAATTGATCTTATAATAGAAATATTTAAAAAGTTAACCATTTTAATAAAACTTAATTAATTAAGAATAATATAAGTGAATTAAGTATATTTATCTTTAATATAAATATTTTATGATTTTTTTTCAGCTCATATAAGTTTAATTAAAAGTAATGCTTTTTTAATAAATTTATAATAATAAATTTATTCATTTCTTGTAATGCAAATAATACAATCTACAAACCTTTTCCAATATTTCCATGAAGTATAAAATTAAATATAGGTTTCTGAAATAATATATATATATATTTTTTTATTATAGTAACGTGCAAAAAAAATATTTTTACAATTCTAAAGGAACACTTTCATCGTACCACCAGGTTTTTAAGGTTTTATCATCACTACAACTAACAAATAAACTTTGTTTTTGACTCCAAATAGCATTATATACTATTCCTGTGTGTCCTCTTAATTTCTGCAAAACTTCACCAGTATCTTGATCCCAAATATACACGATTCCGTCCTTTAAATTATAATAATAAAAAAAGGTTTTTTTCTCTTTAATATAAAGGAAAACATGAAAGATACTCTAGTGTATATAACAATTTACCTCGGAACCTCCAACGATTAAAGAATCATTTACAAAACCAGCACGAATGAAATTTTTTGAGGTATTTTGATGCCCTTTTAGTCTTTTTATGGGACGACCCTAAAAAAAAAAAATTACCGTAAATTATAAAAGCCTAAGAAATTAATGGATTCAACCAACAATCATTCATTACTTACCATTCTAACGTCCCATAGTCTATTGGAATTATCTTTGGAACTACTTAACAATAAAGTTCCACTAGTATTCATTTCCACAGAAGTGACTTCACCCAAATGTGAAGAAATTGTTCTTACACATAATCCTGATACAATGTCCCAAAATTTTATTGTATTATCTTTTGAGCTTTGATAAAGAAAATGGTAAGGTTAAGAATAAAGATAAAGAATGAGAGGACAATGATTATTTACAACACATACCCACTAATTATCAAGTTGCCCAAGGGATTGAATATGGTTTTGGATACTGATAATTGATGACCCGTGAACATTTTTACCAGTTGACCAGTTGAAGCATCATAAAATCTTATGATCTTATCATACCCCCCTGATACAACATGATTCTTTCATACAAGTTAGGAGTATATTAGATTTATAAATCATTTTCGAACACGACATAAATTATAAATAACTATATACACTCACATCGCCAGGATGGACCTTGACGGAATATACGTCACCAGAATGCCCGACTAATGAAAATATACAAGAATGTTTGCTTGCCTTCATATCCCACAACTACTTATTAATTAATATTAGAAGTGAACTACGACAACTTATTTATGGAATAAAATCACGTCCATTCTACGAACCTTAATGGTTCCGTCACCACTAGCGCTTGACACCATCGAACCATTCTTATTTGATGAGACATCCCAAATTCGGGATTCATGCCCTTCCAAAATTCCAATTACTTTTGCACTTTCAGTCTCCCAAATTCTTATCGTGTTATCGCTGTAAAAATCCGTTGTGAATTAATTAAAAATATTTGGAAGGCTCAACTATTTAAACATTTATTACCTCGAGCCACTAACAATTTCTCGTCCTTCTTCGCCAACGAATTCTACACACTTGACATTACCACGATGCCCTGTCAAGGTCGCACGTACTGCATTTGGTATTACGAAACTGGTATAGTCTTGTAATAAGGTATTCACTCGTGGAGCGATACGCGGATGATATCGAGAAAATTCGATTTGGTACGCAACGGCTTGCCGAAGTAGCGTAAGAAGTCGATTGGGCGGTACGTACACGGAACCTTTCTCGGTGAGAAATCATTGAATGTTTTCTGCTATTTTTCCACACACGCGATGAAGATACGCCAAGAAAAAAATCCAACAAATTTGTTAAACCAAAAAATTCTTGGACTTGATGCGTACCATCCTTATCCGTATTCTCAAAATTGAGCATATTTTGGAATTGTTCAACTAATTTCTCCCTATAAGTGTAATTCAAAAAAAAAACAACTATTAATTGTTCCTGACATTTTAAAGAAACAACCACGCTCTACTACAAAAGACACGAACCTTGCAGGTCCAACTCCTTCCCAATTCTTGAATGAGGGCGCATCGTGAACGGCTTTTGCAGTTAATAAATAGCACAAGTCTTTAAATTCATTAGGCGTTGTTTGAAGATGCTCAAGAGGTTTCATTCTTTTATTAAGAAACGTGAAAGCCTAAAATTAAAAAAAAAAGATTATTAATTTTTTGTACGTGATTAAGAAATTATTTAACTTGCAACTTGCCTTTTGTGTTTCCTGATGTTCAATGTATTCAAGATACTGTTGTTTGTAAACAGCATATAAAAAACTTTTATGATTTTTAATCAAGGGCTTAGCGCTCAGCTTATCAACTTCCGCCCAATCTCCATCTAACATATAGAAATAAATAATTATAAACATTTGTAAAATAGAACTTTAATTAAATATATATTACCAAGGATCGCTTTTTTCAAACGCTTGAATTCAGCAACGCGTTCTTCTTTTTCGTGCCATTTCACATTCGCCTCATCATAAATGGTCATTTTTGATGTGTTATAACCTTCATCCGAAAGATATTGAGTTATCATAAAAATTATATCCTGTTAAATACAAAGAGATGAATATCAATGATCATACGCAAATATTGATAAAGATAATAAATTATCACCTCGCGTATCTTAGGATCTTCAGGATTAAAAATATCCTCAGTAGGTCTAATACACTTTAAATGCGCACCAACGTGATGATGTGCTGTAGCCGAGGCAGCAAGACTTGTTTAATTTGTTTTTTTAAAAAAAGAAAGTTCTTTACAAAATCCTGGCAAATTTCCGAAATAACCTTCAATGTTTCATTAAAAAAAGTTTTACGTTTTACGTCTTCTACTTTTATCGTCCAACTCTTCCAATTCTTCGTGCGAATCTCCGTTTTCAGTAGTCTCTTGGTCGGCTTCTGAAGCGTCTTCACTTCTACTTGGATAATCAAAATCCTCAAAGTTTTTACCATTATTTTTTGCATTTATTTTGATTGGCTTTTTTTATACACGTCATATCAAAATGGTTTTAACTTATTAGCTTCGATCATTCATTAACATAATTAATTTAAATACACGTTTTTCTTGAGCATACCGATAACTCGGAGTTTGAAGCTTTGACCTCTTCGGACATTTTTTTTTCTAGTCGGTAAACGATCAGTGACGTAAAACAACTTAAATGCTTGAAAATCATGTGCCTTTTTTACAGACAAATTCGTATTACCCAGGATTTCAGGGTTCACTGAAAATCTAAAAATCTGACCATTTTATTTTCCTTTTTTTTTTTCTTTTAAGATGCTTATTTTGTTATAAGCGTTTGATAAATGGAGGTAAGCAGAAGGTTAATTTTAAACACTTAATCTTAAAGAAATTTCTATCCTATTTATACAGAATTATTGATATACCTGAGAGATCTCTCTCTGATTTCTGGAATTCCAGAGAAAATAAAATTGTTTACCTTAAAACTTTTATTATATTTTTATAACTTCATTAGTTAGTTAATAGTTCTCACCTTTCACAAATAACCTTTATTGCTTTAAAAGAGTTTTTATTAAAGTTTACAAAAATAGGTAGAAAAAAACAACATCACTTCATCCACAAATAAAGTAGATTTCACTTGACCTTAAACTGAAACTACTAGAACCAATTGCTTCAATCTCCTCTACTAGTAAACACCCTAACCTGCCTTTGGTCTTTGATAAAGATATTATCAATGATACTTTTGTTTTCAAAACTATTTTCCCTTCTAATGTTTTTAATAAAGATAAATACATTACTATTGATAATAAAAATATTATAGAAATAAATAATCATGACTTTATCATTATCTTATATTCTACTTCATTGGCTTATGCAACCATTATTCTAAAGAACTTATAATAAATAAAACAATGAAAAATAAAAAAAAAATTGATCTTTCCTATTCCAAATCATCTGAAATTTATTGTTTCAAATTATTTATTTCACTCTAAAATTCATTAAAAATATCACTAACTTTTGTGTAAGATAATATATTTAAAGGCTAAATATGCAATAAGTCAATTTAATTAGATTTATAAGGAATCTATATTGTCAACAAAGCAATTAATCAATAATAATAAAAACATGTGAATAACAAAGTATAATGATCTCTTAATTCAGAATTCTAAAAATACTGAAAATTCTATAAATTCTGAAAATACAAAAAATTTATGTAATTCTACAGATCTTTAAATACTGATAATAATCCTAATTTTACAAATTAAATAAAGTCTAAAAATATTTAATGTTATATTTATTCTTAATATTTTACTTTTTATTATTATTTTTATTATATTATATATTTTTATTGGCAATTTCTATTTGTACACAGGTGTATTATATATGGATCACGTGATACAGCTGGTATTAATATTATTTTTACTAACATGAAAAAATTAAGAAAATATCCTGTGTGATAACTATGTAATAAATGATATGTGATGAATAATAATTTTTTACCAAAAAAAATTATAAGTCTTTGGAATAAATAGTAAAAACTAAAAGCAGAAAGGTGTGATACTGGTAACAAATATACATCACGTGATCTGTATACATACATACTGTGTAAACTTAAAGATTTTTATTTTTATTATTTTATATATTTTTAGTATATTTAATTTACTTATATTTTATCTATCAAATTAGTTAGTTTATAGTATAGTAATTAGTTAATCATAATAAAAAAATTTTGTATACTTTTTTGCTTATGTTGTAAATTAACTCTTTTGTAAATATAAGTTTCAATATTAATAAAGAAATCAATTAAAGCTTATATCTTTTTACCTTTTTATGTCTTTATATAATTTAATGTGATTTTTATATATTATTTATAATTAAGTTCATTATTTAAATGTTTTAATTAAATTAGTTCATATTATCATTTTTCAAGTCTTTATACTTGACAGATTTATTAAGTTTAATATGTAGATTTAATAAAATTAAGAATTAGACAGATTTTAATATCTTAATCGCAGTTAATTATAATTAGTAATCTTAAATAAAGATTTAAAAATGTAATTAACCTAAATTGAAGAATTTCATAATAATAATATAAATAGCAATTATTATAAAATTTTTCAATTTAAAAATTAACTATTTTATAAATTATAAAATTCACAAAGAAAATTCAATTTTAGTAATGCATTTTTTAAATTACAAATATTTATTAAATTTAGAAAATAAAACAATCATATCCATTTTTTTTAAATACTATACTATTATAAATATTTATATACAAATATGAGAACTTTAATAATATGTATATATTACTTATAATATATTTAAAGTGATCAAATTATTTTATATAACATAATTATACTATATCTATAATAAATATATTAGAGTATATCTATATATTTCATTTATAAATAAGCTAAATTACATAATAATATTTATATTAAGTTTACGAATCTTCTATATAATATATTAGTATATGATTTATAAAATATTATCTTAATTACTAAAGTCAAATTTTGTTATATTCTGATCTAATAAAAAATTTAATATAAAATTTCATAAAAAAATTAAGTTTTATAATATATAATTTTTATAGAATTTTAGTATAATATATATGTTTTTTTCTTAAATAAAACCTTAAACTTAATACAAAAAAGTAAGAAAAAATATATACAAAAATAAGAAAAATATATATTTTATAATTCTTTAACGTATGTAAAAATCATAGATAAAACATATATTTTATAATTCTTTAATAATGCAAAATCACAGACAAAATATATATTTTATAATTCTTTAATAGATGCAAAAATCATAGATAAAATATATATTATATATGTAATTTATATATATAATGTTTACTAAATTATAATTTATTAATTTATTAATATATATTTAAAATTTCTTTAATTTAAATTATTTATTTATTTATTAATATAGTCTAATGCAAAAAGATTATTATCTCAAAATGATTGCCATTACATTTTCTAATTAAAGTTAAGTACAATTCTTAATATTATGCAAATTTTTTATTTAAAGATAGCAAATTAACTATACTTATCTTATATACTATTTATATTATTTAGGATATTTCTTTTAATATTAAATAAAGTAGTATAATTTAAAATTTAAGAAATATTAGTTATAAATTATTTTAAGATTTAATATTTAGATCTAGAAGTAGTTTAAAATAGGATTATCAAATTTTAATATTCATTATTAAACATATGTATTGTTAACCCTTCATCAAATTTAGAATAATAATAACTTAATAACAAGAAGTAATATGTGAGAAATTATTAAGTTACTATTGAATAAATTCTATTACAATCAACCTTAAGTTTATAATTTAAATAAATAAATAACTTTAAAATTTATGGATTTTAATATATGTATAGTTTAGAAAAAGATTTCTTTATTGTAAAGATTGTATCATTAACAATCCTTAATCTAGAATTCTAAGTCTTTGTCTTGTATTTTTGAGTTATTACTGTTATCTCTCAAGAACAATTTTTATACAAAATTACAATTATAAGAAGATTACTATCTAATGCTATTTAATATAAAATAAATTATAATACTAAACAAATACAAGTGATAAAATATAATTTAACTATGATAAAAATATAATAAATAATAAAATAAATAATAAAAATATATAAATTAATATAAATTAATAAAATAAAA